TTAGTACAACACTGTGGAACTATTAGCATCAAAGGTAGTTTATAATTGCCACTTAACTTGCTGCCCCGTTTAACAAATAGAAAATAGTAAAAATAGAGGCAGATACAAAAACTCTAGCTCCTTGGCAAAATTCTGCCTTAGGTCTCTTTTCAGAATGCAACTTCTAAAATGCCCTTATCCTGTTTATTGGTCTATAAGTCTGTTAATGTTCTATGAGACTTGCGGGGGAGACTCTGTGTCTTATGCTCCTCTATAGTCAGAAACCCTGGTTCTTGAAAGGAGCTCATAAAATGTTGGCTGAATGGATGAATAAATGAATGGATGCAATCAATAGTGTCTTGGTTCCAACCATATGCTAGACATTCTGGGTATTCTGTAAATCTTGATATATGTAGGTCTTGTATTGCTGAAATGCCATGTTGTATTTCTGCATAGGTTGGCTTAGTAGGGCATCAATTAGTATTTTTTTCTGTGTTTCCTGTCTGGATTATGAGCCTTTACATTCTTTGTAAGAAGAAAAGTACTACATGGAATCTAAGGGGTAGCTACCAATGAATTTCATGATTGCAATTTAATAATCAGACTGGAAATACTGCTGAGAACCTTGCCTTGGTAATCTGAAGACATGAGTCTTATGTCAAAATCGTCCCTCCCTGAGAGAGGTTTTGGTTAATAAGGAAAAGTATAGGCAGCTGGCTCGCCTCAGTCTTTGTTCCCACATACCTCAATTAAAGAGAGCTCAAAATCCTTCTCCATTATACCTGAATTAAGAACAATTTATTAACTCCACAGATATTTCTCACAATCCACAATTTTCTTTATATTCTTAGATGATTTTATTTTTTCTAAAAGCATAAATTTGGAATAGTCTATTATAGGATGGAGTTAATGGGATAAAACATAATAATTCTCTACACCATGCCCTAAAATGAACTGCATCAGAGCTAACTCCATGCTATCTGTGCAGAGATCACTGGAATTCGTGGTGATGTTCCCCTCCAGACCAAGTCACTGACCACTAAAGCTGGAAGGAAGTCATTCTGTGTGTGTGTGTGTGTGTGGTAAAAACTGGGGCCAGAGATGAAGGGATTTTCATCTGATCGAAACTGTTTTGATCTTTTCCAACAGTGAACATTATAAAACAAAATAATAACAAAACAGCTAACAAATAGTAAAAGGATCCAATTTTTGTTTTATCTTCCTCCCTAATTTCTCTGCCTCCTTTCAACTCTCTTGCTGCAGTGAAAAGCTCAAAAGATGAGCAAAAAAAAAAAAAAGGAAAGAAGGGGTGAAATAAAAACTGGCTTATTGATTCCTGAAAAATTGAAATTCCTATACGGTCGATACTTTTTGCAAGCTACAACAGAGCATCCGGCTCAGAGCGTACTGTGGCTACTCTCTATGCTTGTTTTTTAGATATAATGACCGTCAGGAGGGTAGTTGCTCAGGGGTTTTCCTTTCATGGCCTAGTAAGGAGGCTCTGAAGCTTTTCCAACCAGTTGGTCCTCAGGCTGATGGCAGAGCATTTGTTTCCTCTCCGGTGCCACCTGTGTCAAAGTTGAAGGGAAGGGAGGGCCTGGGACGGCCAGGGCTGCGGGGGTGGTAGGAGCAGCACTGGGTCAGGCACCCACACCTGTTTCTGCACATGGGCTCCCTCAACCTTAGTAGGCATTTGTCACCCAAAACTCCAAGTCCCTATTTAAAAACTTTCACTCAATTTGAGAGAGATGAGGTACTTACATTATAATTTTTAAAGAATTCATTCAACAAATACTTATTATATATGGAGAATTGCATTTCTGGAGAAGTACACATACTGTCTATGTGCATCTACTGTATATGGAGAATTGGCCTAAACAGAAAGATGAGCAAGACTCACCATTCTCCTCCACGAGTGATAATTGAGGACTTTTTACCTCCACAGAGAGGGGTCCTGCCTGTGGTAACATAAACACCTCCTTGGGTCCCTTGCCCCCATGCTTTGGACACATGACACTGTCCTAATAATTATAGGGACATCAATTAGTGGTCATAGATGTTAGTGACTAAACAGGATGTGTCTATTACCAATATATCTTATTTACTTTCTAAGTGCTGTGTTTCAATATTATATCATAAATACCAAGTCATATAATAATTATTGTTATTAACTTCACAAAACTCATTTTTTCCAGGCAGTTGTAGACATTTCGAAATATATAGGATATTTTAAAGTCTTGCAAATAATCCCAGGTGATAAATAATATGATTTGACAATGTAGTAAAGGACACTGATTTAATTGCTTTTTATCTCAGTATCTCATTTAGAAGGAAAGACTAGTCAAATCAGATACTTGGGGTTTAGTAGCCTGATACGATCTTAATGTAAATTCACAATAAACTTTGAAAACAACAGAAGAGATTAAAAAAATTTTTTAACTTGGATAATTGAATCCTGAATCAAAATGGTATTTAGCACTAGAATATAATAAATATACTATCTGCTTCTCAGTGCATTATCTATCATTATCTTTTGAACCCTGTAATTGAACAAACTGGAAACTATTCATAATAATAAGTTTGTTCAAAATTATCTGTTTGCTGGAGTCTGGGGTGCACGCTCTAGTCAGATTGAACTGAGGGCAAATCATCCTTTTGGTTGTTTACTCATCTCTTATTACCACAAAGTACAGCAATGCCACACACCTGGGCAGTCCAAAAGCATCTTACAAAAATCACTGAAAAAAACAGTCATTTCCCCTGCATTCTGTGAATGGGCAAAATAAATCTTATTGGCTTTGCAAGACGAGATCCATCCCCTGCCTTGGGAATACGCACCTAACACAACCTGCACTTAACACAGAACTGGCACAAGCAATTTGCCCCCTGGAATTTCCGTTACAGTCAACCACTTGGTTGCTTTATTAATCCTAACGCTGGTTTTATTTTCCAGTGATTCTTTGGTAGTTATGTTCTTCTATCACCGCTATCCAGACATCAGTTTGCACAGTTCCTGTATACATAGCGATCCTTCTAAAAGATTTAAGTGGAAAAGCAACACAAGCCATTATTGGTCTATTTTCAGTTTTCATTATCAATAAGGCAAGAGATCAGCATTTTCATGCTGTGTGAAGCCTTCAGGGAAGTGCAATGTCATTGTCATTATTTTTAGACCTGGCTGCACCTGCCCCCACAAATGCAAATGGAATGGAGAGTCCAACAAACTAAAAATAAAATAATGAAAGAAGGGCAGTCATAGAGTGGGCTGCTGACCTGGTCCCGATCTGAGGGGCTCCCGATCTGAGTGAAGCCTGGATGGCGAAGACCACAGATCATAACAGAACATAAATTTGCTTTGTAATGAGATTAGTAGGCAGGCAAAATAAATATCCTGCTGTTACTTTAGAGGCAGGCTGTAATCTGTGTTTTCCATGGAAATGATCATTTTCTTTGCAAAATGGGAGCTGTGGATACAACAAGCTTAAATCCGACAGGCTCTGTTTCACCATGTAGTTATTTTTCACCTTCCTCTGTCTTTTAAATAACAGTTTTGAAGAGGTGTATAAATGAGTTGTGAGTCTTAAAGACTATTACCAATGTGAGTTATAGTTGTCTATGTTCATGATCGTCAGTCATGTTTCTCTGACTCTCCTTTTAAGAAAAGTTCTGTGCAACCCCTCTTCCCACTTCTAAACAGGAGCCCTGGTGAGGAGGAGGTGTTGAGACCCCCAGGGTCCTCTCAAGCTGGCCTTAAGGATCAAAGGCAGAATAGACTCACTATTGTATGTGCAGTATATTGCAGCCCTACTACTTAAAACTACTGGAAACAAGTATCACATACTAAAGAGCCTTAAGAAAATGCCCAGATCAGGTGAACCCACATGGTCTCGGAGTAGAACAAAGGGTTCAAGTATGCAGCTTTATTTCAAGGGACTTCCTTGGTTTTCAGCAGATGGCAATCTCACCTGGAGAACAATACCCTCCTCTCATTAAAAATGCAAGATAGGATCTCCTCCTGAATCCTTTCTACAGAACCTGATGCAAGTTCATGGGCGGCACCGTCCATAGCAGTGAGTGGCATTTAATCAAAGCCTCTGTGAAATAATGTCAGAGTTTCCCCGAGCCCTGTAAATTCAGCAAGCTTGTTAAGAGGTCCTTTCAAAAGGAATAGGAGATCAGAGAGAATTTAGACGTATTTGAAGTTTCTGCATGGAAGTCAAAGACTTTAATATACACCTATTTCTCTACATTATCTAAGGCCCAGGCTAGAGACTCCTTACGTCTCTGTAACATTGCCCATTAGGAGTAGACCATTTGCTAGCAACTCATTTCATGGTATTTTGACATATCGTTTTTCTTAGGCTCAAAAGAAACCACAGAAATCTTTTGTGTATGCATGGGTATCTTACAGTTTAGGCATTGGTGATCAGACATTATTTCATCTAATGAAACCATTCTCTTTCTGCAGTTGGTGCTTCCATTCCAAAACTTGAACTGCAAATTCAGCTGCTTTAAGTGGGAAATTATTTTTTGGCCCAATTTAACAAGCTTTTCACTTCTCAATAGCTGCTTGAATTGTGTCTCTATCTATACATTTTTTATGTATCTAATTTGCAAATGTCTGGGAATTTAAAGTCAATTCTCCCCCAATCCTCATAATTTTTTCTACTTTCTGTTGACTCCTTCCTCATCAGATGAAATAGTTCAAGGAAAGATGGACTACTTTGCCATTAGGCAGGTGGTCCTATGTTTATTGGTAGTCTCTTTCAACTCACCTTTTCATTTCCATAACTTCATCTCCCTGGTCCCACCATATCTGTCCCCCATTCTTCTCTGCACATCCATGTTTATAATTTAAATTGTAAACAGTAACTGACTCCACTTTGCCAAGTGTCCAGTATATTTGGCACATGTTAATGATTTTCTAATGGTTTTCTCATGCATTAAACTCACAGAGTTAATGTTCAAGTTTCCCGTTGAATAATCTCCCTAAAGGAATTTCCTGAATGATGTTTGCTTACCTCATATAAATGAACTTGCTCTCTGGTGACGGCAAAGATCAGTAGTACATTATTTTGCACCAGTTTATCAATGAGTTGTCCAATTGTGGGATATTCCTAAAATTAACATAAAGATTTTAAGTATCATCTTAACAGAAACATGCAAAATAAAGAAAAGAATGTTTCTTTCAAAGATATCTTAATAAGTTTGGCATTTCAATGCTCATAGGCTTTATTGTATCTATTACTCTAATTGTAAACAAATATACTATTAGCATTATTTACTTAATTAGTTTAATAATTGTTTCCTCAGTTTTGTAAATCCCCTTAATTCCTAAGAGTCAGTGCCTATCAACCTGGTGTATTTATGTTCTGGTCTTCTAAGGAGATTACTTGAAATTTATTTAACGACCGGTAGTGTGCCATATTTTCACATTTCCTCTTCTAAGCAACATTTGCCAGCAGGCTCAAGTTAGAGGGAATGTCAGAGTGGAGGAAGGAGTAGTTAGACTGCGATGCATATGACTGGGTGACTCTCGTTGCTCTGAAACGGGTCCTGGAACTGAATGAGGAGGCATGAGGGCTGAGAAAGGGGCAGCCTGCTCATGAATGACACACTGCAATTCCTATCTGATTAAGGACATTCCTGCCCTGGTTCTTGGGTTTGGTCTTATTGCTTCTTTGAAGTCACTAATCAGTTTTACACGATCCTGCAATAGTTTTACAGGACAGTTGAAAACACATTGTACTTCTGTCCCATTGACATGTCATTCCCAAGTGATACAGATACTTTGAAAAATAAAGAAGTCACTTATTATCAAATCTGAAGATGACCTTTATTTTCCAAGGCTGAAAATCATGCAGCAGCTTTGCCTCTTACATGAATCCAAATGTGGATGACATACAAAGAGGAAGCTCAAATGAAAGATTAGCTTGCAAACAACTGAACTAAGACATTGTTGACAATGTCTGAAATCAGCCCAACTGGAGGGACACTGTACACTCATGTGGCGTGTTCACATATTTTCAGCACTTCAGGCAAAGGACCTGACTGCAAATCTGGCTGTGTAATACGCACTTTCCAGGCCATTTGGATTTTTATTAGTAGGTACTGGTAAAATCCAGGTAATATAAATCTTCCTCAGTCTGACATTTTCAATCCCCTCTGCTGTTCAGGTGCCCAAACACTAAGCATCCTTCATCCTTAAGCATGAGTTCCTCCAGTGCTGACCCCTCCTTATCTTCACATGTTCTCAAACCATTCAACTTGTGTGCATATATAGTCAGAATCATGCCATGTAGCCCTCCATAAGTGGGCAAAAATAATTTTCTATTTGATCCACATCAATTGGTTTAGTTCCCACAATGATCTTATAAGTTCCTCAAGGTCCCCAGGGACTATGTCTTATTATTTTGTGGCCCCAGGAACCTGGCCCAGTGTTGAGTGCATAGAAAATGCTTAGAAAACCCAGAGGGCTGTTATAGGCAGGCATGGAAATGGCTCCCAGCTTCTGTGCACGTGTAGAAACTCAGTGAGGATGAATTAAATATTTATTAGATGAGATGGTCATATTAAACAATAGGTAGTGTTTGCTTCTATAGTCCTACTTTTCTGAGATATCTATTAAGGAGCATTTGAATAATTACAAAAAAGAGGAGGTTCATTTCTCACAATTTCTTGTTCCTTGTTGGCCAAAAGACAATATGTGGCTACCGTCATTGATCTTATAATATGGAAAGGCAATTTATATAATTAAATAAGTTTGGGAAATACTATTAATCAAAGTTATAGGAAAATATTCATGTTCATATTTAGAAATTTAGGCAAGAGATGGTGGATAATTTGTGAACCATTAGATTTTTAAAAACTAGCTGGCAACACTGTATTAAGCATTTATACACATTACCTCACTGAATTCTTTTTTTTAGAGAATAGTTTTTTCCAATCCAATATTAGAACTCTCTTTTTCTTTTTATCTTTGTCTTTCTCTTTCTCCTCTTTCCCTCCCTTCCTTTCTTCCCCTACATACACTTTTATAGCATTGTCATTTTAAGAAGTCACATAAAAATCTCTGTACCATATTTTTTCAGATATTAAATGGCGATAATATAACTTTCCCATGTTGCTACCTCATAATTCAACTCTATTTCATTGAGTAGCCAGTGTCCAGTGTGTTCCAGGGACTCCTGACCCTCAGGAACACATATTAGAGAAATAGAGACAGACATGAGCAAACACATTTCTGCACAGCGACGGGCAAGAGACATGAACGTGTGAGAGCGAGGGGAGAGGTGATCACTACCAGGCCCAGCAGAGATCCAAAACGGCTGCTGGGAACAGTCACGATTGAGCTGGGTTTTGAAGGATAATTAAGAGTTTCTCAGCAATCCAGAAGGGAAGGGCATTCTGGAGAGAGGGAATAACACATGCCCAAACATTACGGTCTGCTTAAAGAGAGCAGTTACATACACAAGATTCTGGTGAGAACTGAATGAAATAATGTACATTCAAAGAGCTCTGAAAATTTTACCTTGTTTAAAAAAGTCAAGTGTTTTTTCCTTGCACGTTGGCAGCATTTTTTGAAGGACAAAAAATACACCAAATGTTAATATGCACCAACCAAGCAGTACTTGACTCATCATTTCCTGCATGACCCAACTGTCCATGAAAACATGGCATTATTTAAGAAGCATGCTCTGGAACCATCATTCACAGCAACTCCTAGGTGACTGTGGTTTCGCTCTGAGCCCTCCTTTTTGGGGCTGTGGTCAAGAACAGGACGAGCTAACTGTTCTGCTTTTTGCTGGCCTTTGGCTCTTTGAAAAATTGGGAGGTTATGGGATCCTATGTGCTGCACCAGATCCAGACTTCTCACGTAGCCGCACCATCTACCTGTACTCCTGTGGGAACTTCTCAGGGTGATGAGGATTGAGACAGGGCAATTTGTTAACCTCAAATCAGAAAAGATACACTGTTTTCACCAAGTGTGGGTTATTCTGCTATCTACTACAGCAATCATTGCTTCATTTGCCTTCTTATAGCCCTGAAAACAGTGTAGAGTGCAGATTACACACCAAGACAGTTGACATGGAGTATTCATTCTTGCTGTCCAAGTGGCAAAGCCCATCGTTAGGAATGACAATGCCTGCCAGTTTGCTGTCCATTCCAAAATGAGAATCAGCATCACTCACGAAGACCAGGAGATGGAGGGAGTCATTCCGCCAGCCAATTTTTTCCTACAATGAGAAACACTTGGATTGTATTGGATAGAGGTAAGCATTTATGGAGAGTGAATCAATTATGACTGTACACATTCAGATTATAAAATTATATTGCTGGTCTATTTTAGCCTTTTTCATCTATTGGGAGTTCATACTATTAATGTAGTAAACACACAACATTCTTTTTGTTTATTCATTTTTATTTTTATTGTTGTTCAAGTACAGTCGTCTCCATTTTCCTGCCACCACTTTCCCTCACCCCACCCACTACCACATCCCAGCCTCAATCCTATCCCCCTTTGGCTTTGTCCATAGGTCTTTTACAGATGTTCCTTGAGTAGATCTTTTCCCTTCTTTCACCTGTTATCCTTCTTCCCCTCCCCTCTGGTTACTGTCCATTTTTAATTTCAATGTTTTTGGTTATATTTTGCTTGCTTATTTCTTTTGTTGATTGGGTTCCGCTTATAGGTGAGATCATATGGCATTTGTCTTTCCTGCCTGGCTTATTTCACTTAGCATAATGCTCTGCAGTTCAATCTATGCTGTTGCGAAGGGTAGAAGCTCCTTCTTTCTTTCTGCTGCATAGTATTCCATTATGTAAATGTACCATAGATTTTAAAGTATATTTTATTGATTATGCTATTACAGTTGCCCCATTTTTTCTCTTTATTCCCCTCCACCCTGCACTCCCTCTCCCACCATTATTCCACCCCTTAGTTCATGTGCACAGGTCATACATATAAGTTCTTTGTCTTCTCCACTTCCTATACTATTCTTAACCTTCCTCTGTCAATTTTGTACCTAACAATTATGCTTCTTATTCCCTGTATCTTTTCCCTCATTCTTTCCCCTGCCCTTCTTCACTAATAATCCTCCATGTGATTTCCACTTCTGTGATTCTGTTCCTGCTCTATTGTTTGCTTTGTTTTTTTTTTTCTTTTTTAGGTTCAGTTGTTAATAGTTGTGAATTTGTGGTCATTTTTTGTTCAGAGTTTTGATTATCTTCTTTTTCTTAGATAAATCCCTTTAAGATTTCATATAATAAGGGCTTGGTGATGATGAACTCCTTTAACTTGACCTTATTTGGGAAGAACTTTATATGCCCTTCCACTCTAAATGATAGCTTTGCTGGATAGAGTAATCTTGGGTGTAGGTCCTTGCCTTTCCTGACTTCAAATACTTCTTTTCAGACCCTTCTTGCCTGCGAGGTTTCTTTTGAGACATCAGCTGATAGCCTAATGGGAACTCCTTTGTAGGTAACTGTCTCCTTTTCTCTTGCTGCTTTTAAGATTCTCTCCTTATCTTTAATCTTGGCTAACTTAATTATGATATGTCTTGCTGTGTTTCTTGCTGCTTGCTTGGCTCTTGACTGGTTTCCAGTCACTTCCCTCACTACCCACAAGTAAATTGGGCCCTTCTGGTGCTGATTCCTGGCCGGGTGCACTCGTGTACGTTCTAGGCCCCTGTGGGCCTCTCCAACAGACTCTCCTGTGAGGCTGGGAGTTTCTCCTGCTACTGAAACTCCCAACAAGTTTTTATAGTCAGATGTTTTGAGGTTTATTTCCCTGCACTGGAACCCTGGGTTGTGTGGTATGTCTTGCTCCCCAATTGTTCCTCTTGGTTTATCTGCATGCAAATGTGGGACCACCAGCCACCACATTGCCACACATCCTACACGTGGACTGCCCATCTCAGCCCCTCCTACCAGTCTGGATGAATGTCTCTTCTTTAACTCCTTGGTTGTCTGACTCCCATACAGTTCCATTTCTGGCAGTTCTGGTTGTTTTTTGTTTTAAAATTAGTTGTTGTCCTTTTGGTTGTGTGAGTAGGAAAAGTATATCTACCTATGCCCCCATATTGGCCAGAAGTTCCTGAATCTGTACCAGAGTTTTTGATCCACTCACTTACTGACAGGCACTGAGGCTGCTTCTAGCACTTGGCTATTGTAAATTGTGCTGCTATGAACACTGGGGTGCACAGGTTCTTTTGGATTGGTGTTTCAGGATTCTGAGTATATAATCCCAGCAGTGGGATTGCCAGATCAAAAGGCAGTTCCAGCCCTGGCTGGTGTAGCTCAGTGGATTGAGCATGGGCCTGTAAAGCAAAGGGTCACCGGTTCAATTCCTAGTCAGGGCATATGAATTGATCACAGGTTGCAGGCCAGGTCCCCAGTGGGGGACACATGAGAGGCAACCACACACTGATGTTTCTCCTTCTCTTTCTACCTCCCTTCCCTTCTCTCCAAAAATAAATAAATAAAATCTTTAAAAAAACCTCACAGTTCCATTTTTAGTTTTTTGAGGAAATTCCATATTGTTTTTTACAGTGGCTATACCAGTCTGCAATCCCACCAACAGTGCACTAGGGTTCCCTTTTCTCCACAACCTGGCTAGCACTTATTTGTTTATTTGTTTATCATGGCCTTTCTGACAAGTGTGAAGTGTTTCCTCATTGTGGTTTGAATTTGCATCTCTCTGATGATTAGTGATATTGATCATCCTTTCATAGGTCTCTGGGCCCTCTGTACATCCTCCTTGAAGAAGTGTCTAGACGTTCAGGTCCTTTGCCCATTTTTTAATTGGATTGTTCGTCTTTTGGGGTGGAGTCTTGTGAGTTCTTTATATATTTTGGAGATCAAACCCTTGTCTGAAGTATCATTTGCAAATATATATTTCCCATATGGTTGGTTCCCTTTTCATTTTGCTGATGTTTTCTTTGGCCATGCAGGTTTTTATTTTGATGAAGTCCCATTTGTTTTTTGTTTCCTTTATGTCCCTTGCTCTAGGGGACATATAAGTGAAAATATTGCTGCATGGTATATCTGTGATTTTCCTGCATATGTTCTCCTCTAGAACTTTTATGGTGTCATGACCTATATTTGAGTGTTTTATCTACCTAGAGTGTATCTTTGTGTATTATATAAATTGATGGCCAAGTTTCATTATTTTGCATGTCATTGTCCCTATCACCCAATATCATTTGGTGGGGAGGCTATTTTTACTCCATTTTATATTTTTCCCCCTTTGTCAAATATTAACTGACTGAGTTTATTTCTGGGCTCTCTGTTCTGTTCTGTTGATCTATGTGTCTGTTCCTATGCCAGTACCAGACTGTTTTGATTACAGTAGCCTTTTAATATAGTTTGATGTCAGGTATGTGATCCCTCTTATTTTGTTCTTCTTTCTCAAAATTGCTGATACTGTTCAGGTTGTTTATGGTTCCATATACATTTTTGAAATATTGGTTCTATATCTGTGAAATATGTTGCTGGTATTTTAATAGGGATTGCATTGAATCTACAAATTGCTTTGGGTCATATGGATATTCTGATGATGGTAATTATTCTAATCCATGAACACGGCATATGCTTCCATTTATTTGTGTCTTTCCTAATTTCTTCAGTAAACACACAAAATTCTGTGATGTTTGCTTTTTCCTGGATAACATTTTTAGATAATTAATGCTTCAGGAAAAATAATTTTACTAAAATCAGTATCTACTTGATCTCAACTTTTACATAGTTTTACTGTCCATTTTCTATTTACCAGAAAAATGAAGGGAGGGATGTCATAGATTATCCTAAATCCAGGCTGAAGCAAAACTAGTCAGAAGGCAGCACAAAATGGACTCTGAGTAAGCTTGTTTTATTAAACTGTCACCTAACATTTAGGCACATATTTATCTTTTTTACTGTATCATTCAAAATTTATAAATGTAATAAAAGGAAAAGAATTGCGTATCAAAGTATCACTCCATACTATTGCTAATTAAGATGGTCCATTGGCTGTTCCCTAGCAGAGCTCTCCCATTTAATTAACATTAGTCCAGAACTAGTTGGGCAAAAACTCATCCTGGTTGTACATCCCACCTTATCCTTTTCTTTCTTTCCCTTATTCCTTGGCCCTCCCACCTTCTAGGAGCTTTAGCCTTGTCTATTTCTTGGCATTTTTCATGAAGAGCTGTCAACTGAGGGTAAGAATCATTCCTGTGGGTGGATAAGTGTCAGATTATCAAGGAGGAGGCGTGTTCCTCCACTGCTGCGTGGACAGTGTGGCTTCAGATGCTTATTTGGTTAGTTCCTAACAATGGACATCTAATCATATGTAGAAATTTATACTGATTCAGGGCATTTTTACTTTTTAAATTATTTCTGCCTTTGATATTGTTTATCATGATTAAATAAAAATCCAATTAATCTGATTTAATTTTTTAAAAATTAATCACACATGACTTGTAGTAAAATTTCCCCAATACTTCTAAAATTTTATTAGGATATTCAAATATTAAGAATAAAGCTGTCCCATTATAATATGACTTAATTAAAAATTTTAAAGAAATTCTGCTTTAAGAAAAATATCAATGTAGAAATATGACAATTAAAGAAAAGATAAAGTTAGCCAAGTCCTTCAAAGTAGATGTGGTAATAAGAGATGAAACTTGTGTTATCAGAGTAAAACACTCTTCCCCTCAGCATACCTTACACACAGCAGCTTGCATAATTGCATCAAATCCACCTTCAGGTGTGTCGATATTAGCAGAAATTTTCTGATTCTTTACAATTTCATTGAATCTTTCAGCATCATTTGTCAATGGCAAAATGTGCTTGAATCCAAATGTAGGTAAGCAGAAATATGGAATACTACTGCAAAGGTGAAATATGAAAAGATTCTTGATGAAATATTGGCAGATCCAATAGTTTGGCAACATTTTCTTAAATGAAAATAAATTTTTCTGAAGTGCCTGACTCTGTGACCTGGTTATGAGTCTCACTGCTAAGATTGTTTTTATTATCTCCCACACACCCCTTCCAAATTAACTATATTAGCTAACACTTAGAGCTCACAGTGTCTTACACTGACTCGAGCTCAGGTAGCAGATAATCAGGTGAGCAGACTCCCCACTCCTCTGTGCGTGTGTACGTGTGCGTGTAATCACTACCTTTATTGCCTCTCAACCAAAATCCACCGTTAAGTTTACATGACAACATCAATTTCTTTGTGTTCCGATATCCTAAGCTGTCATCAAGTATGAGTCACTGTGTAGCAAAAACGAGAGTGGAATCTCTCTTTTTCCTCCTCTACTCCCTCCTGCACTCCCAGCACTGCCTGCCAAGGACCCAGAAAACCAGAACAGGGCTCTTGGTTCTAGATCCCTGCTCTACTATGACTGAACAGACTGTTGTGGACCAGTCCAGGAATAAAACAACCACTTAAAACCATTTACATATGGGAAAAATGTCATGTTAGGATATTCACCCCCCAAAATATTGCAGTGGAACAGAAAGAGCCGATCATCAATTCAGCCACATGTTATTCTGAAAGCCAGTTAGTAGCTTTGCATAAGACTTGGCACAGGTTACTCAACCCACTGAATTTTGTAAAATAGAGCAGAGGTTCTCAAAGTGTAGTCCCTAGACCAGTAGCATGATCATCGCTTGTTATAAATGCAATATCTGGGGCACTACTCCAGGCCTACTCAGTCAGAAATGATAGGGCTGGGCTCAGCAATCTGTGTTGTTCTAAAGCTTGAGAAACACTGGTGTAGAAGTAGCGCCCAAATTTGTAGCTCCAAGTGAGGATGTGCTTCCTGGCGAGAGCTGGTTGACCCTTCTAAGAGCAGCTTTGCGGGGACAGAAGCCTGACTTGTCAACACAGAAAAAAAACAGTACATCTTTCAGGGTCAGGCTCCTGTTTATCTGCTTGAGGTATACAGTCGATCCTCATTATTCATGATTCCACATCTGCAAACTCACCTACTTGCTAAAATTGCTTTGTAACCCCCAAATCGATACTTTCAATACTTTCTCAGTCATTTATATAAATGCACAGTGTGGCAGAAAAAAATGAGTCACTTGATACACATGTTCCCAGCTGAGGTCAAACAAGGTTTTGCCTTCTTGCTTTAGCTTTCATTCTGTAAACAGGTATCCTTTTCATGGTCTTTTGGTACCATGTTTGTTACATCCTTATGTCTTTTGTTGGTGGTTGTGCTGTTTAGAATGTCCCTCAAGTGTGGTGCTGAAGGGCTGCCTAGTGTTCCTAAGTGCAAGAAGGCAGTGATGTGCCTATGGAAAACACAATTGTATTTGATATGCTTTGTTCTGGTGTGAGTTATACTGGCTGTCATCTATGAGTTCAATGGTAATGACTTAGCAATATATATTAAATAAGATGTTTTTAAACAGAATTACATATTAATCAGCTGGTGAAAACATGACCAGAGGCTCACAGAAAACTAACCCTGTGTTTCTCTTAGGAGCAACGGTTCAGCATTGGCTAATGCAGGGAGTGCTCAAGGAGACTATACAATGAGACTCTTGTGAATAATGAAAATCAACTGTGCGTACAAATTAGAATGACTATGGATTCACTGACACAGAATAATAGAGCTCCACTGGGACCAGAATGCTACTGTCTGCCAGGGTAGTCATTTTTATACTATCAGTAGACTTTCACAGAAAGCAAGTCATAATCTGATGTGTCCTGGGGGCTCAGAACAAAGGGTATTGGAGGACCCCAGCACTGACTGATGCAGTTTGAGATGTCCCTGTAACAGCCATCTCCAGAATGGATGCTCCTGGTCACACCTGGCTTTACCCCAATCTGTAGTCACTAACAAAAGTTTGGGAAGCTATGAAAGTTCATGAGATTAGAAACTGTAAGTGCCTTGGCTGAAGCCCTTGGATGAATGTGGCCCATACTTGCATCTGCACCCCTTGTTTCTTCACACTCTTCTAACCTCTCAGGCCTGTTCATTCTTTTAGCTCCAACAGGTTACCTAGTCTGGTGGGCCCAGGAGCCAGTCTGTCACTTCCAGAGAACTTTTCATATTTCCTTTCTGATTCATATGTTAAACTTTAGCTCTCAGAAAGCAATCTTATCCCCTCATTTTTAATATCTTACATGGGCTTTCATTGGAACTCTGAAGAGTTGGCCACGGATAACATCTACCTAGCAGAATAGTGGAGAGTCTTGAATGAGATAAAACGTGCAAAATACACAGCACAAATGAGCTTTTCTGGGTATGTGCTTACTAAACGTTGGTGTTGCTTCTTACATAAATCACTTCACACAGAGTCTAGAACTAGCCTAAGGGCAGATCATATATTTGGCTAATGATATTTCTAGAATCAGATGGTTTTCTCCTGATTAAAATAATAATGCCTGTTAACTGAAGAAAATTTGGGTTTTATATAAAAGTGTAAATAAGGAAATTAAAATATAAATTTTAATGTTTGTGAGATGTAGCATAGTTTGACAATCTATTACTGAAAATTTATTTCAGAAAATTTTCTGTAATTAAATAATGTAGTGATCCTTCTACATACATCTTTGCAAACTCCAAAACACATTACAGATTAAATTAAAAAAGGTTTTACAAGTGTAGTGCACAGGCCCATAGAGGTCCATCCCTAAGACCTTTTCAGAGTCCTTAAGGTCAAACCTTTTTCACAATAATAAAAGACATTATGTGTCTTTTTCTTTTTTTTACTGTGTTGACATTTACACCGATGATGCAAAAACCACAGTGAGCAAAACTGCCTGTGCCTTAGCATGGATCAAAGCACAAAACTGTATAGTTGTCCTTATATATATATTTTTACCAGCAAGCATTTACCATAACAATTTTTAAAATGTAAATTTTACTTGATTGTCCTTGATGGAGCAGTAAAAGCTATTAATTTTATTAAGTATACACCCTTGAAAACATGTTTTTAAGAAATATTTCCGTGTGACTCCATTGGAAATATGCATGCGACACTTCTACTGCACAGCCAAGTACAGTGTTTATAGTGGGAAAGCACTTTGTGATTGAGCTGAACTGGCCCTTTCTTCATAGAGTACCATTTTCACCTGAAAGAACGCTCAACAGTCAAGCTGTTATTCAAACTTAGGTATTTGGCAGACATGTTCTTAAAAATGAGTGAAGTGAGCCCTGACTGGTGTGGCTCCAGTGGTTGTTCATTGTCCTACAAAGTGAAAGGTTGCAAGTTTCGTTTCTGGTCAAGGCACATGCCTTGGTTGTGGGTTTGATTTCCGGATGGGATCCATACAAGAGGCAGCCAATCAATGTTTCTTTCCCTTTCTCCTCCCCTTTCCCTCTCTCTAAAAATAAGCAAACAACATCTTTACAAATAAATGAGGAAAGTGAGCCTGCCACTTCAAGGAAAACAATGCTCAGTATTTGTCACCAAAGGTAAAATCTGAGGTAGCTAAAAATTTAGGGTTTTGCAAAACTTTCATCTGCCACCTATGAGATTAATAGTTGCCCAATACATCAAGAATTATCTGATGATATCTATGGTGATATTAACAAATACCATGTTTATAATAATGCATTGTGAAATTTGGGAGATCTGCATAACTCAGTGAAACAATATTTTCCAAAGGGCCAAAGCATTGTACTACAAAATTACGCACATTAGTAAAAGTCATTCAAAGAGCAAGACAGAACAATGGCTTTCAATGTTAACAGAATATGAAGAGTTCATTGATATTGTTTAAGATTCCATACTGAAGCTACATTTTACCTCTTGTTTCGTTTGAATGTAGTGTCAAAGAACATCCACAGCCATGAGAAAAAACTGTTAAGTGCATCTCCCTTTCCTAACTATATATGTGAGGTTTGACTTTCCTCATGGAATTCACACAAAACAAAATATTGCAGCAGATTGAATACTGAAGCAAGTGTAAAAATCTAGTCATCATCTATTAAACCAGATGTTAGGAGATTTGCAAACATGTGAAAACAGTTATTCTTTTAGCAATTTTTGTTTTAGAAAAATATGGTTATTTTTAATAAAGATGTGCTGTAGTAATATACAGTGCATTTCTAGTTGTAATTATTAAATAATCAATAACCAATGATGTTTAAATTTTGTTTTATTTTTATATGATGAATACTGATAAATGTAACCCACACAGATTAAAACTCTTGGGAGGAAGTTTTAATTTTTAAGAGTGTAAGAGAGTTCTGATATCTACAAGTTTGAGAACCACTAGATTAAAATAATTATAGATAATAAGTGTTGATGAGAGGAAGAAAATTAATACTTATTTTGAGTGTTTGTTATGTTCTGAGCTCATTCAATTCTCATGAATGCCCTAAAAGGTAGATATTATTATCTCCATTTATAGGTGGATAGAGTGAGTTCAAAGAGAGCAAGTTTTTGTCCAAGGTTATAATTTAAACCCAGGTCTGAAAAACTCCATGCTCTTTCCTCTTACGTCTTATTGCCTTTCTACTAAATAACATTTTTATTCCATAATTACAAGGTTTAGATTGATCAAAGGATTGACTTCTGTGTTCAGTGTCTGAGTTCTTGGTGTATATTTGTGTGGGGAGAGGTATGTGGACAAAGAAACCAGGAGAATTAAGGATGTAATAGGAGTAAAAAAATACAATGTTGCAGTAAAAAATAACTTTATATGTAGGTTTAACTAATGGTAGTTTTGCAAACAAAAATAAAAGAAACACTTTAGAAAATAGGAAAATATTGAGAGGTCAAATATATAATCTTTTGGGCCCCCATTCACTGTACTCTTGTTAATACTAGCTACCATTTATTTAGAACTTCAAGTTCAAGCCCAATACCAAATGCTTCCATTTATCACCTCATCCAAACCTTACACCCACTCTGTA